TAAGTAATCATTAAGTAAGATTTACAGGAATTACTTCTTCAATTATTTAAAAAACTAGAAACAGAAGGAGCACTTCCTAACTCCTTCTAGGAAGCCAGCATTACTCAAATACTAAAGCCAAGCAAATACAAAACAAAAAGAGAGAACTATACTCAAGTTGGATTTATCCCGAATGATACATGCAGAGATGATTCGACATATGTAATTCAATAAAAGTAATGAATCACATAAATGGACTTAAGAAAAAAATCATATGATCATCTCAATAGCTGTAGAAAAGGACATTGACAAAATCTAACATGATTTCATGATAAAAGCCTTCTGCAGAATTCCCTGAGCGCTGCCTAATGTTTGGCTGTGGATCTCTGCACCTGCTCCCATCAGTTACTGAATGAAGCCTCTCTGATGACAATTATGCTTTGCTCCAGTCTGGTTACAAAAGATTCCATTTTTTGTAACCATTACAAAAGGTTCAGGTTCCATATCCCCCATTACTAGGAGTCTTCAATAGGGTCACCCTGGTGGATTCCTAGAAATTTCCATTGCACTAGGTTTCTACCTCACCCCCCAAATGCTCTCCAAATCTAATTATCTCTCCTAGTACTCCCTCCCTCTACTCCCACCTAATCCTTCCTGTTCCCATCCGCACATGCCCCTAGGCCACCCTTAAGACCTCTTCTGTTTCACCTTCCCAGGGAGATCCCTGTGTTCCCTTTGAGCCTTCCTTCTTACCTCGCCTCTCTGGGTCTGTGGATTGTAGCATGGTTATCCTTTACTTTACAGCTAGTATCCACTAACAGGTGAGTATATACCATGTTTGTCTTTCTGGGTCTGGGTTTCCTCACTCAAGATGAATTTTTTGAGTTCTATCCGTTTGGCTGCAAATTTCCTGATGTTATTTTTTTTTTTTACAGCTGAGTAATACTGTATTGTGTAAATGTGCCAGATTTTCTTTATCTGTTCTTTGGTTGAGGGACATCTAGGTTGTTTGTGTTTCTGCCTATTATGAATAAAGCTGCAATGAGGGTAGCCAAGCAAGTGTCCTTGTGGTATAGTGGAGCATCCTTTGAGTATATGCCCAGGAGTGGTACAGTTGGGTCTTCAGGTAGATCAAGTCCCGTTTTTCTGAGAAACTGCCATATTGATTTCCAAAGCACATAGCCAACATTTTAAATGAAGAAAACTTAATCCCATTGAATTCATGAATGAGACAGGGCTGCCAATACTTCCAATCCTTTTCAGTATAATGCTGGAAGCCCTATACAGAGTAATAAGACAAGAGAAAGAAATGAAAGTGATACAAACAGAAAAAGAAGTTAACCTATACCTATAAGTAGATTATATATTATGTATAGGTGTCTTAGTTAGGGTTATTGTTGCTATGATGAAACACTATGACCATGACTTGTGTCAACTTGACATCAAACTAGCCAGCACAACAGGATAGCCCAATTCCACAAGAAAACTTCTAGAAATGACTAACTCTTTACAAAGTTACAAGATACAAAATCAACTTAGAAAAAAACCAGTAGTCCCTTTATGTACCAAAACCAACATAAGTGAAATGGAGACTATAGAAACACTCCTATCCACAATAGCCTCAAATAAAACAACATATCCAGAAATAAAGCTAACCAAGAAGGTGAAAGATATCTATAGTGAAAACTATAAAGCTCTGAAGAAATTGAAGAAGACACTAAAAGGCAGAAAGACCTCACATGCTTATGGATTGGCAGAGTTAATATTGTATAAAGGACCTTCCTACTAAAACCTTTTTATAGATTCAATGCAATCCCAATAAAAATTCCCATCACATTATTCACAGAAATAGACATAAATATCTTAATTTTTCATAGGAGTGCAAAAGATCCTGGATATCCCACGAAATCCTGAGGGAACAAAAACAGAGCTGGAGAGATTACACCACCAGCTCTTCAGGTATATCAGAATGCCATATATTCCAAAAACAGCATGGTACTGACCTAGAACAAGACATGTAGATCAATCTAACAAAATAGAAGACTCGGACAGGAGTGCACATAACTAAAGCCATCTGGTATTTGACAACAGTGTCAAAAATGCACACTGGGGGAAAAAATAACATATTCAGTGAGAATGGTCCTGGGAAAACTGGATGTCCACATGTAGAGGAATGAAATTAGATCCATGTCTATCACTTTGCACAAACACAATCTCCAAAGGTATCAAAGACCTAAATATGAAAGCTGAAACTTTGAAACTGTGTGAAGAAAACATGGGTATGTCCTACATGATATAGGTGTGTGGGAAAGGACTTCCTGAATAGGACTCCATTTGCCCAAGAATTAGGGACAAAAGTTGACAAGTTGGACTTCATGAAACTGAAAAGCTTTTGTACAGCTAAAGAAATAGTCAACTGGCTGAGGATGACACCCACAAAATGGGAGAGAATCTTTGCCATCTATACATCTGACAGAATATTAAAATCCAAAATAGACAAAGAACTTAAAACAAACAATAAAAATGGCCCATTTGAAAATTGAGCCTAGGAGCTGAATAAGGGGCCTCAAAGGAAGAAAAATGGCTGGATAGCAAGAGAGATATAATAGTGGTACTAATATTATAAGAGCAAGTAACAGTTGTCTGATTGGACTTAAGACCTGCTCAATAGGTGGGAGCTCATTCTTCATATTGTAAAACTTGGCAAAAATCCATGGGAGGAGAGGCCATAGTTGCTAGAAGAGGACCAACTACTGGCATTTTCCTAAATTAATATAGCCTCCAACTGTATTCTAAATATTTATACCCAGAGTTAGGTGAAGTTCTTATCCCTCATCAAATAAGTTTCTTTCTTTAGCAGGTAGAAATGACCACAGAGATCTACAACTGCTAAAAAGGCAAAGAATATGTGGTTTGGGGTACCCATACCCTATAGGTTATCTACAGAACAACCCCTACACCTAAGACTCAGGGGACATCACAGAAGAGGGAGCAGAACAATTGTAAGAGCCAGAGGAGCAGGACTACTTCTGCAAAATAGTGTCTTCTAAACATCCAAGGATATAGCAATATCCAAGAACGTTCAAGAATGTGATTGCTTGCATAGACCTGCATATAACAGTTGACAAGTGTCTTAGGATTTCTATTGCTGTGAAGAGGCACCATGAACATGGCAACTCTTATAAAGGAAAGAACTTAATTGGGGTTTTCTTACAGAGGTAGAGTCCATCATAGTCATGATGGCATGCAGACAGACATGGTACTAGAGAAGGAGCTGAGAGTTCTTTGTTTTTATCCACAAGCAGCAGGGAGAAGGTGATGCTGGACCTTGATTGAGCTTCTGAAACTTCAAAGTCCACACCCAGTGATGCACTTCCTCCAACAAGGCCACACATCCAAAGAGTGCCACTCCCTATGAGCCTATGGGAGCCATTTTCATTCAAATCACCACAACACGCCAGCATAAATGGGGAAATTTTCACGAGTCCCTTCTGTGAAATGAAAAGCTAGAGGAAGTCAATGGTTGCTGAGGAGAGAGAATCTGCTTTGTGCAAGGGCAAGCCTCATGATAGGTTCTGCAATACCAAATGGTCAGTCCTAAATAAATATAAACAACAACATTTAGTCCAAACTAAATTGACTCAAGGTGTGTGTGTGTGTGTGTGTGTGTGTGTGTGTGTGTGTGTGTGTGTTAGACAGGGTAAGAGAGAAAAAGATATATGTATATGTGGTAATAATATAGAAGAAGAGGTCATTAAATTGAGAGGGGCTTTGAGGGGATATGGGAGGAATTGAGAGGAAGAGAGAGGGGGTTGGAGATATGGCTCAGAGGTAAGACCACTGTCTGCCATTCCAGAGGTCCTCAGTTCAATCCCAGCAACTACATGGTGGCTCACAACCATCTATAATGAGATCTGGTGCCCTCTTCTGGCCTGCAGGCATACATGGAGGCAGAACACTGTATACGTAATAAATAAGTAAACCTTAAAAAAAAAAAAAAAAGAGGGCGAGGGCAGAAGTGATGCAAATACTGTATACTCAAGTATAAAATTCTTTTAAAATTTTAAAAAGTGAATATTTGGATGGGGGAAAGGATAGATAACATAAATTCATATCTGAATTATTCAAGGACTTGCAGAGAGCTAATACCTCAATTTGAAGAGTGAATATTATTTTAAAGGGATAAGAAGATGCTAACATTAATTTTCCAGGTCATAAATTATAGTGTCCTAAACAAGAATTTAGGAGGACTTTGAGCAGACTAATTAAATATGGAAGAAAGAAAGAAATTAATATAACAAATATAATTGAAGCTAACTTACTAGAGTAATGAAATTGATGATGCTACTCCCTTCGGTGAAATCTATTAGAAGAATATTAGTTATACAGGAATATGAGATTCGTTTTAGGTGTTTCTAGTACTGAGTTGGAATTAAATAAGAGATATGCAAAAGTACAGAGTACACTGATATGAAGATTAGGAAAGAAGAATGATCTGAAGATGTACATTTTAAAATTATGTGATGGTCTGTAGGAAAATATATGGATATGCATGTGGTCATTACTCATGGAGAGAGAGTCAAGAATGAACACTTAGAAGGGATCCCAGAGGCTCTTAATGAACACACTTCCCAGAGAAATACTACAGTTCAGTGACAATTACATAAACACATAGAAGTTGTCATAAAAACAAAAGGAAAAGTATGTCATTTGTTTAAGAAAATATACTAAATTACATCTATGTGTGGTGATGCCTATCTGTTATCCTTGTTGTGGTGGTTTGAATACAAATGGCCCACACAGGCTCATATATTTGAATTCTTAGTTATTGGGGAGTGGCACTATTTGAGAAGGAATAGGAGGTAACTCTGTTGGCATAGGTGTGACCTTGTTTGAGGAAGTGTTTTACTGAGGGTGGCCTCTGAGGTTTCAAAAGCCCAAGCCAGGCCTAGTATCTCTTTATTCCTGTTGCTTGTGAATCAAGATGTAGAACTCTCAGCTCCTTCTCTAGCACCATGTCTGCCTGCATGCTGCCATGCTTCCTACCATGACAATACTAGATTAAACCTCTGAACTGTAAGTCAGCCCAAGTTAAATGTTTTCCTTTATAAGAATTGCCGTGGGCATGGTGTCTCTTCACAGCAATAGAAACCCTAAGATACCAGTGCTTAAGAAGGTGAAGTAGCAGGATGGTGAGTTGCAGGCCAACACAAACATAAAATCTACCAAATGTCAAATACCATAACTCTTAATTTATTCTATCTAACCAGTTTTATATAGTAAGCTATACTCTAGACCTTTGCAACAGGGAGGCTCAAAATCCCACATCTAGTCTGTGGTTTCATACCCTGCAAAGTCCACCAGTACCTCTCATCTCCCATATTCCAATCTCATATAAGTGCTATTCCAATCAAGTGTAGACTAGAGGACTACCTACCAAACATAGGGTGGGAGCTCTGCTTCAGAGAATCGATAGGGCAAAACTTCTACATAAATGTTGGAAAAGTTGAAATGGCGTAGGAAGCCATGTTCTCTTAGCATCACTGGTAGATAAGGTGTTACTATGCACGAAGTGGCTTGTTACACTTATCCACTCTGGCTTAGGTACACTCTTCAAACCATAGATATTCTTTCTGAAAAGATTACAATTATTTGGGAAGGACTTTGATAAGTTCATACCTAAAGTCATTATTAAGAACAATGGAGAACTATACAACAACTAGAGTAACAAGCATCTAATGGGCACTATAATCAGTAACAACAAGCAGACATTCCTCAAGCCTATTAAGACTATTCCAAAATAGAAAATATGCTAGTTTATAAGCATGTATTAATAAACCTAAAGTTGCTGAAAATATTATTTCCTAATAGAATTAAATTAACATCATAAAATGTGGGAAATATATAATAAATATGTAGAAAATAAAAAATAGTCTAAATTTTCAAAGTAATCAAGTCATCAGTACAAGGCCATCCAGGACTCTATAAGATGCTGCTCTGGGCGGTGGTAGTATGTGCCTTTAATTCCAGCACTCTGGAGGCAGAGGTAGGTGGATCTCTGTAAGTTTAAGGCCAGCCTGGTCTACAGAGTGAGTTCCAGGACAGTCAGAGATACACAGAAAAACCCTGTTTCAAGAAAACAAAAGCAGGGCTGGAGAGATGGCTCAGAGGTTAAGAGCACTGACTGCTCTTCCAGAGTTCCTGAGTTCAATTCCCAGCAACCACATGGTGGCGCACAGCCATCTATAATGAGATCTGTTGCTCTTGTCTGGCCTGCAAGCTCACATGGAAGGAATGTGGTATACATAATAAATGAATAAGCCTCTAGCCGCCATCTTGTGTCCCCGCGTGTGTGCACCTTATCACCTTATCTCAGCCGGTCCGCCCGAGACCCCCTGAGTGCAAACCCTAGTCCCCCTCGCGGCCCCATTTCCACTCTGACAAGATGAAAGAAACGATCGTGAACCAGGAAAAACTGGCCAAGCTGCAGGTACAAGTGCGCATTGGTGAGAAAGGAACTGCTCGCAGAAAGAAGGTGGTTCATAGAACAGCCACAGCAGATGAAAAAAAAAAAAAAAAAGAAAAAAAAAAAAAAAAACAACTGCAGTTCCCCTTAAAGAAGTTAGGAGTGAACAGTATCTCTAGTATTGAAGAGGTGAACATGTTCACAAACCAAGGAACAGTGTTCCATTTTAACAACCCTAAAGTTCAGGCGTCTCTGGCAGCAAACACCTTCACCGTTACAGGCCACGCCGAGACAAAGCAACTGACAGAAATGCTTCCCAGCATTCTAAACCAGCTTGGGGCAGACAGTCTGACTAGTTTAAGGAGACTGGCTGAAGCTCTGCCCAAACAATCTGTGGATGGAAAAGCAGCCCTTGCTACTGGAGAGGACGATGATGATGAAGTCCCAGATCTGGTGGAGAATTTTGATGAGGCTTCTAAGAATGAGGCAAACTGAACGGAGGCGACTTCTGAAGAACTGACACTTGCAGAAGTTACAGGAGCTGCTATTTTATATCATGGCTGCTTTTTAAAGGTCTTTTGTTTATGGATTTGATCAAACCTAGATCGCTAATATTTTTAAGCCCAAGCCCCTTGGACACTGCAGCTCTTTTCAGTTTTTACTTAAACACAATTCATTCTTTGCAGCGAATTAAGCTGAAGAAGCCTGGGAATAAAGTTTGGAAAAGGGTTAATAAAATTCTTTGCCTAGAAAAAAATAAAAAGAAAATCAGTTTTCTTCAATGGAATATAACTGGGAATACTCAATACATTCCAGTGTAGGCTTCATAACAAGCAGTAGCTGGCCAATGCAAACCTTATGCCATGTGTTCATTTTGTATTTTCGTCTTTCTAGTATTAAGATTTTTTTCAGAGAGATAGAGAAAGCAAAGATTGAACAAGTGGGCAGGTAGAGATGTGGGAAACAAAGGGAGTAGAAAACGTTGTTGAAGGGAGAAATCATGATAAATTTATTTTATGAGAATTTTTTCAAATTAATCCTAGATTAATTTATACCTTTAATAGATTAATTATATCTCTAAAGGTTTGTACATATGAGAGGGACATTAGCCACCCTGGCCCTTTAAGACTATATGTCTTGACTCTGGTTCTTTGCTCATAATGTGACATTCATCTCCGGTAGCTACGGAAACAAGAATTTTTAAAGTCACTCTCATACTGGGCAGTCACTAGCATTGGCCTTCATAGAAGGGGAGAGAGGCAAGTATTTTATGTTTTCTACATGGTTTCTGTTAAAAGCTTTCAATTTCAGGAGACATAGAAGGTCAAAGAAGTCAATGACCTAAGATTCAACTCTTTGTTGATGTCGTGTCTGTGTCAGTAAATCCTACCGAATATAAGTACTGGGAATCCCTGTGGAGCTGTGAAGGCGCTGTAGCCTGTGTTGACCTTTATACATTTGTAGTTTCCTGAAACTGAGGATGTGAATTAGACTTTCTGTGTTTTTTTCTGTTTATATAATGGGGTAATGATTGTGTGAATCTCATTGGAGGGTCAGGACTATCAGATGGGCTAATATCCCTGAAGAATATAAATGAGGCTTCAACTAAGCAAAGCAGAGGAAGGGGTTGGTTTGTGTGAACCAGGGGTTGATGGTGAGACACCATTCTGAGCTGAAATATCTGCCTAACAGAACTTCTTTTACTGAAGGTGATTCAACTCTTGTGTGACTCCCTGTCTGTTCATCATTTCCTGCTATTTGGAAGATATTTATGATCTCGACATTTCTCAAATGGATCTCTTCCTCCTTGACAAACAAAGGTAAAAGCTTAAGATGAGCTTCATGGGGGGTTTCAAATCGGATCTTTATGAAGCATAAGCACCTCCTCCATAGGTTTCAGACATGGGCAAAACTAAATCTTGCCATGCTAGCTCATTTGTCTTGCACAACAGAATTTCCCACCCTGATTCTGGTTGTGCTTCAAAACTCACTGATTCTGACATCAAAAGGCTCAGATCTGCCTTAACAAGGAAGAGGGCATGGGTAGGGTGTTACTCAATTCATACTAGATTTTAAAGACACCTTGCTGCTATGACTTCCCAGTTTAGTAGAGCTACTGCATTCACCCTGTTAGGAAGTACATTCCACAGAGAATGTGGAATAGTGGGAAGCTGGTAGGGAAATTTTTGTGGCAAGGAGGTACAGTTTGTAGTGCACTCAAACCTTCTGCATTGGAGGTGGCAATGTTATCATGTACATGCCTGAACTTTATTTATGCTCAAGAACACAGTGACATCCTTCAGGGCATAGGTATTCATGAACATTAACCCTACATCCATTAACCCTACTTATGAACCAATAAGTGGTCTAAATAAATTGGTGCATACAGTAAACATATAGTATTAATTTGGTGCTGGAGAAGATAGTTTCTCACACAAGACAGTTGGGACACTTCATATTCAGCAATGAAATGAAGGTAATTTTCTAATGTGTATGTTTGAGTAAGTCATGGGAAATGATTGAAATATCCATGAGGGCTCATGTTTCACATACAGATTTTAATTTTGGTCACATAATAATAATTCGGGTTTTCCAATATGTTTTCCGATAACACATACACTAGCATACGCATGTAGAAATATAGAAGACAATATAGGTGAATTAAATTTGTGTAAGTTCACTACCATAATTTATAGATATTTGTGCATTCTTCTGCTTATACCTCCCATTTAAACTATTTATCTTATTTGTGTATTGTAAACACTGCTTAATTAAACGCCATTTAACATGTGTTGTAAATTATTGAGTATTAATTCCAAGCATTAACATGTTTAGTTAACAAATCTGCACATTTCAGCATTTGATAGATAAATAGTGAAATCGCTAATCAAAACCTCTTATAGAGGGAACTTTGGCCATAAGTATATTAATTAAATACAACTTTATGTGACAGCAAGGACAAGGTATGAGAACTTATTGCTCTGTAAACCATGACTCATTTTGTTTTCCACTGTCCCTTGTGTTCCTGACTTGACTATATACTTGTTCAATTTCATTTTCAGACTTGCCAATGCGAAGGAGTGCTTCTTCAAGTTTGGTGGCCTTCTTTGCTGCCTATCAGCCTTGCTGTTTGAGACAGTCATAGTAAGCAGCCAATTCTGGCGCCTCTGGGAATTCAATGACAAGCGTGTGCAATTCGTGTCTTTTGGACTTTGGGAAGCTTACTACCCTCAAGAATTTAATGTTTCAGGCACTGTAACCAAGATTCTGGTGCACACCCCTATCAATTCCACGTGGACCATTTCACCTGAATTTCAGTGCGCACAGACCCTTATAATGTGGGCTGTTTCGATGATGCCTGTAGTTCTGATTATCAGTGCAATCGCCATTTATATTGACTGCATGAAAGACCCATTTATTGAGATGCAGTTATATTGCTACAAGGGTGCTGCCTTAGTTTTGTGTGTTAGCAGCATCTTCACACTTGTTTCTGTGAGCTGGAACCACTTTGTAGAACATTATGGCCAAACCACTCTTGACTTTCCACCTGACTTTCCAGTTAAAAAAGAAGCCTTAATAAGCAAACACTATACTGTTGTGTTCCCAGTAGGGGTACTGATTGCCACCATGTCACTCTTTGGTGTTACCTTCTTTCTCTTTGAGATAAACTCTTTGAAACTAAAGAATCAGGTGAAGACCAAGTGTGCTTCCATAGTGGCCATTGAAGAGATATGAAGTGAGAACTACATTTGCAACATCTGTCAGAAGGTTCCTAGAAGAAAGTTCTTATTCATATAAAAACTCTTGTAGTTCTCAACTCATTCAATAAAGCATCAACTTTATTTTCTTGGTCTGTCTAAATGACTTCCTCCTCTGTCTAACCTGTTTCTTTCTTTGGGTATTTTCGTATCCTAATCTCTGAAGGTCACGATCATGCATTCAGATATTTCCGACAGGCAGTAGCAGGGAAAAGTAATGGTGAAATGCATGTTGCAAAGATATTTATCACAGGATACATATCAAGTGAAAGAAGGTTTGTAAGGAAGCTGACACATAAACAGAAAAGTAAACACAATTCTGTCTGGAGACACTCTGAAACTCAGGTCTCCTGAAGGCAGAGCTGGACTTCCTAGTGTTAGCTCTGCAGATAGTGTGTTCCCTTGTCATGTAGTAGGAAGACTATGCTGTAGACTGGACAGTCATGCATATCTTTCTGTTTTTGAGTTTCACAAATTGCCGAGCATTCCCAGTGTGCTCTCACAGAAAATATGGTGTAAAGATCAGAGGGCTGCTTGTCCGAGTTGTTTTTCTTGTTTTTACCTTCAGAAACACTGGGTTCAAACCCACATTAAGCTTGGCGGCAAGCTTACATAGCCACTGTGCAATCTCACTAACTTCAAATATACCCCACTTCACATAAGGATATAGCATGCTTGGCATCCATAGAATGTAGGCCATTTTATAAAGTAAAAAAGAATTTGCTTGGAAATGGGTAGAACTAGAAAAGGTCATCCTGAGTGAGGTAACCCAGACCCAGAAAGACAATTATTGTATGTACTCACGTATAAGTGAATATTAGCTGTAAGATAACCATGCTACAATCACAGGCACAGGGAGAAGCTAATTAACAAGGGGTCACAATGGGGCTTGAGCATCTCACTGTGAAAGGGTAATAGAATAGACATCACTGATGGGTGGGAGAGGGGTCTAGATGGGGGCAAGGAATGGGAACAAGAAGGATCAGGTGAGGGGAAAATGGAGAGAGAGTAATGAGAGAGACAACTGGCTTCTGGGACATCTCTGGGATGAGCTATAAACCTAGGAAAATGGAAACTCCCAGCAATCTAGGAGGTAACCCATCCCTCTCCATCATGCCTTGTACTCCATCCACTCTTCCTCCTCCGTTTCTCTTCAGAAAAGGGTGGGCCTCCCATGGATTTCAGTCAATCACGGAATATCAAGTTGCAGTGACTAGGCATCTCCTGTTTTATTTAGGCTGGATGAGGTAATCTGGTAGGCAGAAAGGGTCCCCAAAGTAGGCAACAGCATCAGAGATAGCCCCTATTGCCATTGTTAGGAGTCCCACAAGAAGACCAATCTACATGGCTGTAACACACACACACACACACACACACACACACACACACACACACACATATACGTACACAGAAGGCGTAGGGCTTCTGATTTTCCTTGTTAGATTTACATAACTTTCTTCACCAGGGCAATGTCTAAGCACAAAGACCTATTTCCTGCATCTCTGCTACTATATGGATTCCCTGCCTAATCCCATTAAAGCCAGGCCTACCAGAATAATCTGCAATCCTCAAGTCCTGACTGTGCATGAGTATATTATACATTGGATTTCCCTGTTGCTTTTGACCATATCTTACTCTTCTTTTTAATCCTTTTTTGCATAATAGTTCAGGTTTAATAATTAAAGCAATAATCAAATAACAACATTATATGTGTGTGTGTGTATATACACACATACATGTGATACTCTGTTTAATCACAGGGAAGATTTTCCAAAGCCCATAGTGATTGAAACTGTAGATAGTACTAAACATATGTATTCTATATTGTTTTCCTACACCTGCTTATCTGCAATAAATATAATTTATAAGTAAGTCACAGTAAAAGAGTAATGTCAATAACTACTAATATATTAAAATACTGCATTGTAATAAAAGTAACATAAAACTTCTGAATTATTTATTTCTACAATTTTCAACATAATAGTTTTGGATGCAATTGATCACAAGTAAGAGAAGGTGCAAAGAGAAAAACAAAAATAGGGCTATGGATGATTATGTGAAAAAAAAATGCCATCTATTCATATCCAGTAAAACGGTATTTACCTGTGAAAAGAAGAAACCCTAATGGAAAGTACTAAAAACTACTGTTATGTGCTTTAACATGTATAGGCCATACTAATATGCTAATTCCAAGAATCTATATACAAAATGCCAAATATTGTATATTTCATGTATATGCAAAAGGAGTTTACCTCAGGCATACATATAAAGGAAGGTAAAAATTCATCCAAAATCATCATGGTAAATTAATGAACTTAGTGGGCTTCCTTACAAGTGAGGGCTTCTTTATGTGAGCCCTAGTGGCGGCCTTCTTACAAGAGTGTCGATGTACCTTAACAGCCACATTGCCAAAATTTCCCAAACCAGCATGAAAAAATGACTTCTCCATAACTGCATATGGAGTCTCCCCTCTGATTAACTTTCCACACTATATACTCTAGCCTCTCCCTAGACCACCTGCAGCCTGGTGTGGATTCCATAGAGAGCTGTTACTCGGTGAGGAAAGAGTGCTTTGAACTTCAAAGACCTACTGACTCACCCCACCCTGTCTATGACCAAATGCCAACAGTCCCAATCTTAAAGGTAATCAGGCTGCTCTCATTAGATGCTACTAACTGTTCTGCACACAGGATAGCTTCCAGAACAGAAAGATTTGCACTTGCTTCTTATTAAATAAATGTTTTGTACACTTCTCTTTGTGCTGTGGTCTCCCATTATACAAGACAAAGAAAAACAAGGCAGAACTACATGAAATTAACAACAATGAACCACTCTTTCAATTCAAAAAAAAAAGCTTTTCTTTTTCTTTTAAAACAAATTTCTGGGTATGGAGCTTAGTAGTAGAACACATGGCCGTAGGTTCAGTTGCTAGCATACACACACACACACAGAGAGAGAGAGAGAGAGAGAGAGAGAGAGAGAGAGAGAGAGAGAGAGAGAGAAACAGACAGATACACAGGCATACAGAGAGAGAGAGAGAGACAGAGAAGCAGATTGAGACACCAAAGACAGAGGCAGAGACAGAGAGACACAGACTGGCTAATAGGTAGAGAGTGTCACATGACGGAAAAAGACAATTATGTATGACTCACAATGAATCCACTTCAAATATAAGACAGTGATTAATGCGGAAAGTCCCAGCCTATTGTGAGTGGTGCCATCCCTGAGCTGATGGTTCTGGGTTTGTATAAACAAACAGGCTGGGCATGCCATGATTATTAGCAAGCCAGCAAAGCAGTAAACCCTGCCCCCATTGGCCTCTGTTTCTGTTTCTGTCTCCAAGATCCTGTCTTGGGTTCCTGCACTGACTTCTCTTGGTGATTGAATGTGACCTGATAATTGCAAACCGAAATAATCCTTTCCTCCCCAAGTTGCTTTTAGTCATGAAAATTTATTACAATAGGAACCCTAACTCAGATGTTAAGAAAACACAAAACAGTAAGAAAACAAAATGTACAAAAACAGACCATTTCTCGCATAGTCATTCCAAAAATAGAAGAATGTATCTTCTGTTCAAGTATATATAGGCAATATACCAAAATAGATCATACCATGAACCATGAAAGATCTCAATAAATTTAAATATGCATATATTAATAAATATTAATTCATTCAAATTATGGTATTTCTTGGACTGTGTTCTCACGGGGGGGGGGAACCGGAAGGAGTACAGAAAGGGGAAACTCTAATCAGAATATTCTGTATGGGAAAAGATTCTACTTTCAATAAAAGAGGGGGTTGTGGATCTTCAGAACAATCTTACAGTCAGTTAAAATAAAGCCAGGTGGCACACTTCAAAGCTAGGTTTCGAATTACCTAGAAGGATAGTGTCTGCTAGTCTGCTAGTTTCACAATCGCGACCACTTTCCAGGCCTCAGTTTACAACAGTCAATTTCTTCTGAAATTAATGAACATAATGAAGATTAAGATAGTCTGGGGGTCCTCCCTAGACTCAAGGCCAATTCTTCCTTCTGCTTGGAATCATTTGATTCAAGTTCTTTATGTAATGGAAGAGTGCCAAACTTATCTGTCCTGGAATTTCTAAGGAACAAAGAGAGATGTTAACCAAGTGTTTAGCACAGAAAATGGGTCAAGTTACAACTATATGACAGGACTGTTTGGAGCTCTCTTTGGAACATCTTTTGAGCTTGACCTTCCTCTGATGCTCTCCTTGGCAAATTCGGTTATATTGCGTCAGTGTACATAAAGAAGCAACAAGATATGATGTGAATGATTAGGGGACTTTTTTTTTAAAAAAATAGCTAATTATTTAAATTGGGAATGAGCCCCACTGATGGCGTGTTGCTGATGAAAGCGGTTACAAATGACTGCACAGCAGCATAGGAACACATAGAGACTTTACTTCATTTAAGGAGTTCCATGACCCTTGACATAGCTGTTGCACTCGTGAACTCGGTGCAGCTGTTATTGTCTGCACATAACCTACACGTGATGAGGCCTTTTATTTGAACAGGAAGAAGCCCATAAAGACACACTCTCCTTGGGGAACACTTGGCAAATAATGCTAGAAAGGATGGGAAATATTATTTTCTTCGGTGGCATAGCCAATAATTAGTTATCCTCGCCCTGGTAAATAGCCTCTGACCTATGCTTGGGAAAGTGTGCCAGCTAGTTTTATGTCAACTTGCCACAAGGTGGAGTCACCTGGGAAGAGGAAATTTTGATCAAGAAAATGCCTCCACAGGATTGGCCTGTAGGCTAGTCTGTAGAGCATTTTCTTGATTGATGATTGATGTGTGAGGGCCCAGACCACTGTGGGCATTGACATGTATGGATAGGTGATCCTGGGTTCTATAAGAGAACAAATTGAGCAAGCCAGGAAGGGCAAACCAGTAAGCAGCACTCCTCCACAGCTTCTGCTCCAGTTTCTGCCTCTCCTTTCCTTTTCTGACTTCC